TAATATACAGCCAGGTATGCAGAAATAAATATAACTGTTCCACACTGTATGCAATGCATTATGCACTACAGTGTTCTGGTCTGAACATGTGCTCTGCCTCATCCATGATTTGCCTCATCCAAATAGAATAGCAAGCAGTAGTGATTTTTTATTTTTTTGTTATAAACCTAATTGCCAATTAGGTTTATAAAAAAAAAAATCACTACTGCTTGCTATTCTATCTAACTAAGCCTTGTATCCCCATATGGTGGAAAATGGATGAGGCTGAGCACATGTCAAGGCCCGAACACTGTAGTGCATAATGCATACATATAGTGTGGAACAGTTATATTTATTTCTGCATACCTGGCTGTATATTACATTTTTTAATGTATAATATACAGCCAGGTATGCAGAATTAGATATAACTGTGCCACACTACAGGTGTGGGCTGGGCACAGGATGGCATAAAAAAAGTTATATCTGCCCCTTTAAGAAAAAGTATCGGTAATTGGTATCGGCGAGTACTAAAAAAAAAGTATCGGTACTCGTACTCAGACCCAAAAAAGTGGTATCGGTGCATCCCTACTTAAAAGGCTACCTGTTCTTATACAGATTATAGCAATATATATACCTCCAATACCGTAAATTGTACTTTACAGTCTATTATTGTGCTCCCTTGTGCTTTTACAATATGCAAAGAAGAATTTTCCAGAGCAGGTTTTGGGTATGTGGGTGTTTGTGCGTGGGTTGGGGGAGGTAAAGAAGCCCTCTGCACTTTGCCTTAGCAGCTAGTAGCAACAGGTTGACCAAAAAATGTCATATTTGTGCTCTGCTTCCTAAAAAAAGAAAATAACGCAGGGAATTATGCGTAATTGAATTTAGCACAGATTAAATAAAACATTTTTCAACAAATATCATATAATTGCTGCAGTTCCTTGACAGGCGACAGATAAAATGTGAAACCATAATCATAGTTACTGTTGCCAAGATGGCAACAGTGATTGTACAGGTGACGTAAAATGTCCCTTTAATATTTGACAAAACTCCAGCAATATGTTTTCTATCAGGAAACATTTCACATTACTTATATAATAATACTATGATTAGAAATACTCACAGGAACCTGAAGCTCAGAAACTACAATAAATAATATATGTGAAGAAACTACAATAAATAATACATGTGAGCAGACTCATGTCAGATGTATTAGATTGAAATATGCTTATAAAATAATGGCAGAAGTGAGATTTCTCTCCATAAGGAGTAGCATGGTAAACTGGCATATTCATTTAAGACAACATTGTAATTTGATAATTTGCCCTATTACTTTGATATAAGTATATATCGGTGCATGTAATAAAGGTTATCTTAATATGGATGCTTTTTAGAACAAATTTAAAGTCTACAGTTATCTATAACATTTACATTTTTTATTATAGAAATTATCATAACAATAATACTTAACAAACTTAATAGACCAGAAGTAGAAGTCATTACAATTATATTATGTGATTATATTACAATTTTCTTTTTATAGTTCACTGTTCCTGGTCTTTTAGTTTTCTACCCTCATTAGCGTATAAAATGGAATATGCTTGACACATTCTCAAAACCCTTCATGATGTCTATATTATATTTATTAACATCTTGGTTATTATAATTGAATTATAGAAATGCTATAAAATACACATAAATAAACAAAGCAACTGAAGCAATTAACCATATAGGTATTTGTATATTGGGCGTGTGACCTTGTCTTACTGTCCAGTGGCAAAGGAAGTAATCTAGCATTTCTTTTTAGGGCTTATTAAGTCATGCACAAAGCAAAGGTATAAGTGTACACTATCACTGAGGCCTCGTTCACACCAGATGCAGTGTGTCCCGCCCCGATTCTGGCCAGAACGCACTGCATCGCATTGCGGCCGCCTCACTTTTTTGTGGGGCAGGAAGGAGCGGGCCATTGAAGTGAATGGCACCGTAGCCACGCCCACCGGCCGCAATGCGATCACCCACATGGTATCACAAGGCACATTATGTCTGAGGTCCGGTCCGATCAAAATAGTGCTTACAGCATTTTTTTTTTTTTTGGACTTGATGGACTTATGTCTTTATTCAAAATCAAATACTATGTTACTATGTTAGGATATGACTGAACTTTTGAAAGTTAGATTTCGGGATGAGTCCTGTATTTCACCGCTGTACAGTACTCTTGTTTCCCATATTGCAAGTACGTTGCATTTTTATTTTTAAAGTAAATCGGTCTAGAAGGTGTCTTACAGCGGGAAGGGATGTTAGTGGGCGAGAGAGTATATGGACTACATCATCTGCAAATAGACCTATTTTATTGGTTGTGGGGCCTACTTCAATGCCATGAATGTGGGGATGTGAACGAATTAGAGTCGCAAGAGGTTCCATTACTAGAACAAATATGATAGGGGAAAGTGGGCACCCCTGGCGAGTGCCGTTGGTAATTAGAAATTCGTTGGAGAGGAGTCCGGAAGTGAGTACCTTTTGCGTTAGGAGTGGAATATAAAGCCAAGATGGCGTTCAGTATTGGGCCTATAAAACCAAACTTCAATAATACTGCTTTCAGGAAGTCCCAATTGATTCTGTCGAACGCCTTTTCGGCACCCAGGGAGAGAAAGAGGGAGGGGTTCTTATTGAGTTCCACGTGTCTTAATATATTTAATAGGCGTCTAGTGCCGTCCGGGGCCTGACGTCCATGCACAAAGCCTACTTGGTCGGTGTTTATCAGTAGAGGGAGGATATGTAGAAGTCTTCTAGACAGTATCTTCGCATAGATTTTTACATCAGTGTTCAGTAATGAAATTGGTCTGTGATTACAAGGGGAGGAGTGATCTTTGTCGGGTTTAGGGATGGTCACTATAATACCTTGAAGCTCTTATAATATAAAGCCAGGTATGCAGAATTGGATATAGCTGTGCCACACTACAGAGTGTTCATGTTCTTCATAATATTAAGAAACTGACCTAAAATCATGATTTTGTATTGCTTTAGAAAAAATGTGACCTGTCCCTTTAAGAAAAAGTATCGGTAATTGGTATCGGCGAGTACTTGAAAAAAGTATCGGTACTCGTACTCGGCCTTAAAAAAGTGGTATCGGTGCATCCCAATAATAATAATTTGTATGTCTTTTACCTAACATACAGGACCTTTACCTAGACATACAGGATGTTTTGCTGCATATTTGGGCAAGTGTTACATGTACAGCTGACCTAAGGTCAAAAAGCTGCAGAAAAGAATCCCATTCTTACAATTTTCTAAATACAGGAAATTAAACAAATAAATGATTTATGTGTGAAGTGCAGTAGCCCAAAGTGTCCAGTCAGATTTCTCTTTACTGTAGTCAGGGACAGATGAATTTTGCCAGCTTTAGCCATCGAGTCAGTTTCTTAGCTTTAAAAAAAAAAAGAGTACAGGTTGACTTTAAATATACAAGTTTTCTTTTATGTTAGTAATAATTTGTATGTCTTTTACCAGAAAGGATGTTTTGATGCATATTTGGGCAAGTTTTACATGTGAAGCTGACCTATTTTTCCTATGTTTGTTTTGGTTCTTCCTCTCTAAATCTTCTAATAACAAGATGTAAAGCTAGCTACTGAGATGTGAAGCAAGCCTATTGCTTTAGTGGCTAAATAAGGCCAGTCTTAGTCATTCATTTAGAAAGTCAGATCTTAATACCCGAGGGAAAACCTCACACATGAAACTGTCCTTATTTGTGTACGTTTATAGAACTTGGATGTTCTTCTTTGTGGTTGTTGTTAATGCAGTAGTATGAAGGGATTTGTTTACTATTTATAAGGATTTATAAAAAAAACTCTTATGTTCTTTTTTTTCTGTAAGCTGAGAAAATTGTTAACATTTTTTTTAATATTTATTTATCTTGTCATTTCTTTTCACTGAAAAAGTATTTTTCAGTGTTTATTCTAAGAACTTTTTTGTATGTTTGCCAATTGCCTATTTGTTTTTTCAGACCTCAGCCATGGAATGGACCTATGAAATCAATGGTGTTGCCCCAAAGACCACTCCACCAACAAATGTTTCCTCCAGAATATGTTCCATGGGTATCAAGCAACCAACAGCAACTCAAAAACGTAATTTCTTACGTGAAAATCTCAAACTAACAACAACAGCTGTGTCTTCACCTATCAAAGGGGTGTCTTTGACATTAAGAACAAAGTAAAAGGTTTGGAAGTGAAAAAAATGCACTTTCTTTTGTACATTTCTTAATGCAAACATTTGGATTAATAAATATATTTTGCAAATGAAATCTTGTATTCTTTGGCATTTGGAATTCAGTATATAGTTATGAAGCTGGACTACTACAGTAAATACAGTCATTAGACCTGTAATTGTATTTAGAAAACAAAAACTGACTTGTTTACTAAAGTCAGAAAGCAGCAGAAATGTTAATTAAACAACTTAGCCAATTAATTAATTAGATTCTGACAATTTTCTAAATGCAAGAAATTAATAGTTTGCTTTACTGTAGTCATTGAAAGATGAATTCTGATTGGTTGCTGTCAGTCATTGCACAGCTGTTTAATGCCTGGATTAGTTATATACACAGTACTGTCAGAACATTTGCAGTACTTGTAAAACACAAAAAAATTGTATTCAATGAGATTCTTTGGAAAAGGCATGGGTTAAAATGTTTAAAAACCAGAAAATCACTTATAAGCTATCTGCAGCTTTAGCTGAAGACATCATTTACAAGGGTCATTAAAGAAGATTGTGAGCCACTGCACAGGTATCTACTCCTCTCTTCAGACTTTTTTTTCTTTTCACAAACTTTTATTGATTTTCAAATAAACAAGCAGTCGCAGGATAGACATGAGCCTGCTGACACAGCAGCGGCAAAAAATTGTAAAACAATGTACTCTAATCAACCAATTTTAAAGAAACGTGTATTACCATTATATTAAGATAAGGAAGGATAGAGACAAAGCCATAGCCGGATGTCCCCACAACTCCACCAGGACTTAAACCCAAGGTGCAAACTATCGGAAACCAACTAACAAAAATGATGCTGATGGAGGCAGTTCCATAAGTCCTGCATCAAATGGAACCCGGATTTTAGGTAGGAAGTTCCAAAAAATGGGTACACACTCAATTAATAAAAATAAAGAAAAGTAAAGGGGAGCAGAAAACCAAAGAAAAGAGAAAGGACAGCAAGAAAGAGAGAGAAGAGAGGGAAAACAAGAAAGATTTAAGTGGGGTTCTCTTGAAAAACAACAAGTTTTTATCACTCATATATTCATGGCCACCAAACAAACTGACAGGGCTAAGAAGACACCAATGCTGGATCAAAATGTTAAGGGCTTGCCAAAGATATCTACGGTCACGAGATCCCCATGAATTTTTTATGATTATCTGCTAAGATTGCGGTCATTTTTTAATTAATCATGATACCCATGAGCCTGTTCTTCACTTCACAAAAACTAAGAGCAGGAGATTTCCATGATCAATAGTTTGGTGGCCATGAATATATGAGTGATAAAAACTTGTTGAGATTTCGACACTTGCACTATAGGTTTGTGTAAAAGCGCACCCCAGAGAGTTTTAACCAAATTACACCCCAAAACCGTATTCACCAATGCATATACTCAGATCCAGAGTCTTTTGACTTTAGGGCATTCCCACCAGATATGATACCTAGGACATATAAGCAACCCCGAAAGCAAAAAGGGGATAGGAATGGATAGTTTTATGCAAGCAAGCTGGGCTATAATACCATCAAAACATAACTTTAGAAGAATTCTCCAGTGCTAAAACATTTCTGGAGCAGGAGGCAATATTATGCCAGATCACAGAACAGTCCTCATCAGTGATAATGGATCCTATTTCTTCTTCCCATTTAGATTGATATAAGATCTTGCCCAAGGACAGTCTGGCACACAGAGATGACTGAATTAAAGTAATTAAGCCCAGAGAATGGGGGTGTTTCCGGCATCTGTGCTCAAAATGAGTTTGAGAGTAAGGAGGGGGGCGAGAGTGAAGTAAGTAAAGCACATAATGTTGCAACTGAGGAAAATTTAATATCTTAGACTGGGGCACAGGGTGAGAAGATTGGAGTTGGGCAAATGATCGAACCCCCTGAAGAGTAAGAAGAGAACGTCCCACAGACCTGTTTTAGTCCACCAGGAGAATCTCTCCTGATTTTACATTACGGGGGAAACAATGGACATTGGATCAGGGAAAAGGAGAGGGAGGTAGGGGAGATGAGTTGGCCTGAATATTTGACTGAATCCCAAACCTGTGAGGGGCGTTTGGGAGCCAAGGAAGGTTGCAAACCAAAATGGGATAAGAGTCTACCATATCTAAAGAGACCCACCGTGGTGATTCATATTGAGAGGACAAAAGGGCAAGATGAGCAATTTGTACTGCATTGTAATAGTTAAATTGGGGACCCCCGAGCCTCCCTGCAATTTGAGGTGAAAAAGAACCAATTTGTTAACCTTAGGGCGAAAGTCCTCCCAAATAAAATTAAGGATGTCCCTCTGAAGAATACGGAGAATATGGGCCAGCACGTGGACCAGCAGGATCCTGAAAACATACAATAATTTATTTAAGAAAGTAATTTTTATGGCATTAATCCTGCCGATCCAGAAAAGTTTGAAATGTTTCCAGGAGGAAAGAAGTTGTTTGAGTTGGTGTAAAAATCCTGGAAATTTTGCCTGGTAAAGAAAGGGATAAATCGGTACCAGTGCAATCCCTAAGTAAGGGAGGGAAGACGTCCAAGAGAAAATAAAATTCTGTTGCAATTGTAACATTGTAGATAAAGAAAGAGATACGTTTATAGCCAATGATTTATAGACCAAAGCCCCATTTTTCAAGTGTTGTTAAAAGATAAGGCCAGGATATAGAATCAAAAGCTTCATGCATATCCAATGATAGAAGGAAAGTTTCAAGTTTACGCTTGCAAGCTAAATGGCACAAGTATGGAACCTTACGAATACTGTCAGAGGTTTGCCGACGAAAAAAACCTATTAAGACCATCATAAATAGCTTATCAATCCATTAACGCAATATACATTCTTGTCTGAGTATTTCTCATTGCAGAGCCAGGGTTACAACCGATCATAAATATGTTAGCGTGGAATGTAGAAGCAACTTTTGTGGATGAATGTGCACAGTCAAAACTTAAATATGTTTCATAAATCCTGAGCCAATTTAATTATATCAAGAATAAGAACGTTTTCACTTGTATCAACTAATTACCATCAGTTTAAGACTAAACCGATATTATGAGGTGCAGGAGGCAGATTAGGCACACTCCCGCTCCTAGGTAATGAAGGCATTTGATACATATCATATTTAGATTAATTAAAAAGGAAATCTCGTTCTGTACAATCATATACTGCTTACCAAATTGTAACCTGTAAAGATATAAAAAAATAATGCATTTTGAAATCTGAGGGAGTGGCAGCTGCACAATTATAAACATTTATGACACCCCTTTGGTCAGTCCTCAGACCCTTTAATTGGTCAGATAATTTCTCTCAACAACTCATGGACCAGAAAAGAGAGTCTGTCTTTGCAGCTGGAGCTCTTCTTTACCATCAAAATTAGGTACATCTGCCAAGAGACTTATTTCTTGAGAGGCAATCTCAGATCAGTTTATAAACCATTGATTGAACTCTGGAACCCAAAGTACTCAGGACTTTGTTAAGTACCTTAATTCTTAATCCCTTTTTTTTCTTGCTGTTGTATCATTGTCTCTGTTGTAATATCTTTTCTGTAATATTTTTTGCATAATTTTTATCTTCCTTTATTAAACTATTTTTAAAAATCAATAACAATGGTGCACTGCACTAAAAAGACATCCAATATCAACCCACATTATCACAATACACTCCTGCCAAAAAAGATCCATGCTCTTCCCTCACAGTTAAATCCTATTAAAGTTGCTGTGCAAAAAGTGAACTGCACTTTATAATTTATCAATAAGTGCAAAAAGTGCAAAAAGTGCACTAAGCTAAATCTACATCCAATATCAACCTCTATGATCCCAAAATGTACATGTTAACATAAAACACATATAAATATATACATAAAATCAATAAAATACTATACAATTTCATAGATCATCCAAAGTGCCAACAATGTATAATGTATAAAAATAAAAAAAATCTAATTTCTTATGTAACATCAAAAAAGTCCCAAAACAAATGTCATATGTATTTTCATACAGATGTAACCCATCTTGTCCTGGAGATTTGTTTACATTTAATCTTTCTAGACTCTTTATCACTCTGCTCTCTGACAACCACTGATATACGTTAAAACTTTTGAACTAGAGCTGATGCCTTGATCATTAATCCGGTCAGTCTCCTCTGTAAAGACAGAAGGAAAGGATGTGTTTCAGGCATCCACTTTCCCTCTGTCACTGGTAGCTAACTTCCCCTTTTCATCTCTTATGGGGCCTACATGTGTCCTCTCCTTACCCTCGTACTATTTATATATATATAAAGCATTTCTTGGGGTTTTGTTTTGCTATCAGTTGCTATGTGTTCTTCATAGTCTATGTTTGCAGCCCTGATTGCTTTTTTGCATCTTTTGTTGCATTCCTTGTAGTTTTTAACGCCGATGGTGACCCCTCTGATATATATTTTTTGAAGTCCTTATCCTTTTCCTTAATTTATTATTAATATTATTACATAGTATTTATATAGCGCCAACAGTTTGCGCAGCGCTTTACAATATAAGGAAGATATTACAATCACAGTACAAGGCAAGACAAGATGGTAAGGAGGGCCCTGCCCCTGAGGGCTTACAATCTAAAAGGGAGGGGGAAGTGATACATTAGGAGGTAGCTGTGTGGGGAAGAATTGTTTAAGAATGTGATGGTTAATTGGTTAGGTTGAGGTGGGATAGGCTTCCCTGAAGAGATGAGTCTTTAGGGATAGCCTAAAGGCATTCAAGGTGGGAGATAGATGGAGAGATTGGGGTAAAGAGTTCCAGAGGATGGGAGAGACTCTAGAGAAGTCCTGGAGGCGAGTATGGGAGGAGTTGACAAGGGAGCTGGAAAGCAGGAGGTCTTGGGAAGAGCCGAGGGGACGGTTAGGGTTATATTTTGAGACAACGTCTGAGATATATAAGGGGGCAGAGTTGTGGATGGCTTTATAAGTGACTGTTAATATTTTGAATTTTATCCACTGGGCGAGTGGAAGCCAGTGCAGG